GTCATACATTGCATCTTCTCAAGTTTTACAAACAGAAAAGTGGTATCCATTTGGAAAGTTTGAATTGCTTACAAGAGAAGAAAGAAGAAACTTCATTGAAGTCACTCTATGTGATCAATATCTTTCAAGAAATCATATTTCATAGAATTATACTAAGTGTAACTTATTTCCAGGATTGTTGGAATTAAGTATTAGAATACTTTTGTACCTTGTTGTCCATTGTTGGAAACAAGAGGTATCTTTTGAGAGGATTGTTCTCAAGAGACTTATTGGAAATCCAAGAGGGTGTTCTTGGTATTTGTTAGTGTCTTTAGTTGATAAGACTAGGAAGAGTCTTGTAAAAGTTCTAACAAAATAGTGAAATCTCTTACGTGTTTGCAAGGGGACTGGACGTACTTCCGGGGTGTGGAAGGAACCAGGATAAATCTCTGTGTCTCTTTACTTTCTGCACTTTACCGTTTTCCATAGCACTAAAACAAAGCCAGAAAGTGTAAAATAAATCAAAAATCGACCACCACCTAATTCACCCCCCCCCCCCCTCTTAGGCGCAATCTTATACTTACACCTCAAACATCTAACGATAGGGATACCTACTCACTAATAGTAGGCTAGCACTGTCTAAAGGAAAAGAGGAAAAGAATAACCCTTTCTAGTAAAATTAGATTGTTCCTCGATGCTATGCTCAAAAACAAACTTTTACACATACACAAAATTCTTTCAAAACCTTTTCAAAAACGCTTTATCAACACTCTTGAGGACTGATACAAGAGTTATCATAAAGCAAATCGCCGCACTAAGGCATTTCAAAATAATTTTCAAAAACACACAAAAGCACAAGGTATTTCAAAAAATGAGCTAAGCATCTAAGAGCCCGTAGATAACTACGGATGAAAAGGATGCTAATACCTTCCCTTTCCATAATCTACCCCCTTACTCAGAAAACTCTCGAAAGGTCTTTTTCTATTCTTTTCACCCTTTCCTTTATTGGATAAAAGAAAAGTCAGTGGTGACTCTTGCTTACCGCAACATTTGCGAACACAAATGCAAAACCAGTATAACAGTCGGTTCTGCCACCATATCACAATACATAACACAAGGTATTTCAAAGATTAGCTAGCATCTAAGAGTCCGTAGATAACTACAGATGGAAAGGGTGCTAACACCTTCCATTTCCATAATATACCCCCTTACTCAGAAATAATCTCGAAAGGTCTTTTTCTATTCTTTTCACCCTTTCCTTTGTTGGATAAAAGAAAAGCCGATGGCGACTCTTGCTTACCGCAATATTTGCGAATACAAACGAAAAACTAGTATAACACTCGGTTCTGCCACCGTATTACAGAAAAGTCGGTTGACTCTTGCTTATCGTAAAATTATCATGCATTCATTAGGATACTGTGATCCGAAATCAAACTATACTTATCATCTCATTCGATTGACGAATTCCAACAGCATGGATCTAAACAAGAGCCCAATTCTCATTGGCACATCAAAATTTCAACATCCATTGATGTATATCCAATTTGTTCATTACATGCATTGGTTAGTCATTCTACGCATTAACACTTACATCCACATACATACATAACATGTCATAGGCCAAGACTTAGAACCCCCGTAAAAACCCAGAGTCAATTTCTAGGGGAGTCACTATTGGAATCTCTAACACATCTTTAACTATCCCTTCCAGCGAGTCTGTCATACAAGCATTCTTCGTCAAACTAAATCATAAGTAGCGTTACCTACAACCGTTTAAGACATGAGAAGCCTCATACATTTTCTTATTTGTATTTCATAAAAAGATATGAGAAGCCTCATACAACCTCATCCACTATTCATTTCTAGGCAACGATACAAAGCATGAGCAACCTTATGCATTCATCAGTCATCCATATGTAAGCAACCTTACATAAAAGTTGTGAGCATCCTCACACTTTCCAATCGACGCCTCCCGGTGACATTACCAATGCTGGAAACCTTGTTGCCTGTTTTACCTTTCAGAGCCACCAAGTTGATATTATTCAGGCAACCCTATGGATATTGGTGCAAAGCCCAGTCCCCGTCTGGCCCATCTTTTCAAAATCCTAGTTCCCATTTGGCCCATCTTTTGAAAATCCCAGTTCCCGTCTGGCACATCTTTTCAAAATCCCAGCCCCTAATTGGCATGGTTTCTCAAAAACAATAAGTCTTGGCTGATAGTCTGCCTTAAGCATTGGTTCTGCAGTTCAAATGATATGGGCATTACATTTATCAATCATTGCGTCGTTTCAATTCATAACATCAGCATATCAAGCATACATACCATACATCATGCATACATCAAGCATAATCATATCAAACATGCATACATGCATTACATTCAATCATGCATACCCATAAAAATTGCGGAAAAATCTCAAGGCATGACTACCAGCTAAGACAAACTCAAAATTTAAATCCAAGCTCAACATTATCCATTCACCTTGCTATAGGTACCTCGATTGACAACTGACACAATCGTTAAAGGTGCCTCTATCAAAATCTCACTAGGCAACTTACCTATGACTCATATCCACGCCTATATGCACATCCACACCTATTTCTACGACCACACCTACGCCTACGTCCACGTCTACTCCTACACCCACGTCCACACCTACGGTTGCGCCTATGATACAAATATCAAGACACTCTTTATCATGTCCACACCAATTTATCATGTTTGGGAATTGATAACTCAAAACCAATGGTTTGACAAAGGAGAGTTATCAAAAATGTTTGCGAAAATACTTGAAGTATACAAAAACAGTTGGGGCATACACACTCCGTGCATATACTCTCTGGGTTCCATACTGATCTAAGACATCATACACATATATCATACATGGCATGTCTTAAAACATTCTCTGGGAGAAACTGATTTCCTTGGGACCTCCATCAGATTTTCACCTTAGTTGAAAACAAACAACCAGCGAATATCCAATCTCATCTTCGATTTAGCTATCCAAGGTTTGATCATCAAAACAAACTTCCTCTACAAATATAACCCATTGCCTAAGGCTTCATGCAACAATGTGTTTCTTTCTTTTGTGATATATTTCATTTCCTAAGGCTCCATGCAGCAATGTGTTTCTTTCTTTTGTGATATAGTTCATTGCCTAAGGCTCCATGAACAATGTTCGAAATCCGCAATTTAACCCATTGCCTAAGACTCCATGCAACAATGTTCAAAATCCGAATTTAACTCATCGCCTAAGGCTCCATCCAACAATGTGTTTTCTTCCCTAGAATATAGCTCATTACCTAAGACTCTAGGCAGTAATATGCGAAATCCGCAATATAACTCATCTCCTCAGTCTCCATGCATCGATGTAGTTGTCAAGCATTTTCAATTATCTATCCCCCATATTGTGATAAGTATGCAAAATAAATCTGAGTAATCCATTGCATCAGTCTCCAGGCAGCAGTGTGTTATCAAACTTTGTTTTATACATCCCCTGGGTTGTGATGAATAGACGAAATAAAATCAAACCAAAAATTACTATATTAGTCTCCAAGCATTAGTAAGCCAGCTTTTTCAAACGTTAATCATTTACTTCCTAGATTATGGTAAATTCCACAACAATCTTTTTTCTAGGTATTGATGAGTTATCAGCGTCGTCATATCTAGATCAATCTTACTCTTCAATCATATCTCTCCATTCAAACTCTGGTAGGATGACACATCATCGTCTTTGCCTAAAAATTTGGTTCAAACCCTGGTAAGGTGATACATCATCACCTTTGCCTATTCTCTTCAAAACTCTTAGAGGTATGCTATATCAGCGTATCTTATCTAGCTAACTTTTGGGGGGTATGCTATATCAGTGTATCCTTATCTAGCAAACCTTTGGGGGGTATGCTATATCAGTGTATCCTTATCTAGAAAACCTTTGAGGGGGGGGGGGGGGGGGGGGGTATGCTATATCATCGTATCCTTATCTAGCCAACCTTTGGGGTATGCTATATCAGCGTATCCTTATCTAGCCAACCTTTGGGGGGTATTCTATATCAGTGTATCCTTATCTATCTAACCTTTGGGGGGTATGTTATATCAGCGTATCCTTTTCTAGCCAACCTTTGGTCAAATTTTGGGGTCTTCCATTTATTTAATAAATCTTCGATTTGAATAAACAAGACCTACGCATTCTCGCGCCATTCAATCAAAGAGTTATTAAATAGGGTCAGCTGTCATACGCCAAATTTTCCTACCTTAGTGCTACCGCCAAATTTATTTTCGAACCTGGGTTTTACAGATATAAGATTCCTTTGATTTAATTATATTAACATTCTGAGGTTTTTTAATAAAAATTCGCTTTCAAGTCTGTTTAAAAATATAATAATTATTTGTAAAAATAGCAAATAATTGTTCACTGTCATATACTTTCAATTGACTTTTTACTTTCGAATAAGTAACATAGCACAGTTGGTAAGGGAGAAAGACTGACAAGCAGGAGATTATGGGTTTGAATCTCACTTGGTGCACTTTGGATATTTTTACTAATTTTATTTTCATTTTCTAAACACAAAAATCTTTTTATTATTTTCGTATTTATTTATTTATTATATTTTAAAAATATTATTTTTATTAAAATATTAAGCCTCCCGTTGATTCAATATGAAGCCTCCCGTTGATTTTCAATTTTTTATTTCCTTTTAATTGCTTTATACACCACATGATATTTATGTGATAGTAATTTTAAAAAAAATTATATTTCTAGAGGTCAATTTTCTACACATAGTACAATTCATAGAATTTTTACACATTTTTACTAAAACTTTATTTTTAGGAACATTCACTAACAATTTTCTGGCAAAAATCCACCCAGTGCAAAACACCTGCTTTTTCACTAACTATCCATACTAACTATTCATCCACTCTTACAAAATTGTTTTTTACCAAAAAAGCTCCTAAATTCCTTACTTTCCTGCACGTATGATTTTATTTATCAGTAGGCTACAATCAATGTCACCATCTACTAATGTTACTTTTTCTCAAACCAAGCACTAAAACCGTAAACTTACTACTATACTAGAGTTTCTTTTGTTTTCTGGAAACAAAGAGAAAGGAACAAAGAAGGAATTGGCCGCCATCCTCGCATTTACCACAACTCATGTTTTGGGATAGAACTCGCCATTGGCAACAATAAAAGCATAGCCTAATTTCAATCAAAATTATTCAAACCTCAAGCTTGAACCAAAGATCATACAGAAAACACAACATCGATTAGCAAAAAAATCAAAATCCAAAATAATATTGTTCTTATCTAAGTTTTGTTTTCGCAGAACAATAGAAAAGTAGTTGCGCACAACACCCTTGTTTGCACCGCCGGGCTTCTATCTCCAACTTTGGCCGTGCTTCCAGAAACCTACACCACGACTGCTCCTCTATCAACATCAGACAGAGCAGTATCACCACACAGGTTCAAAATCGACGATGCGCCTCCCGCCGTCAGAACCGCTAGTTTCCTCCCGCTCCCAAACTCGTCGTTCTCCGATAACACCCCTACCGACCACCGTGGATCTCGCCACCCAGCCACTCAGATCAGACTAGATCTAGCCGTCCATCCCACGAAGTCACCGCGATCTTCATATAGAACCCGTCGTGAAAACCGCCATGGACACCGTGTTGCACTCGGTCCCTTCCGGTTCCGCTGACCTCCATCCTAAGATAAGAGTTTATTTCTTTTTCTTCTGCCATTTTTTTGATTATGATATAATGATGGTTGATGTTTCAAAGAGAAGAAGAGGGTTTTGTTATCTAAGAAAGAATGGGTTGTTTCTCTATTCACAATAATAGTGTGAGAGAAACATTTGTTTTTTTTTTTATATTTTAAATCCTATCACCGCGTGTCGTTGTTTTATTGGGTCCAGGAGAATTGGAATTTTGGAGTTGTAGCAACGTGAGGAGTCTGACCAAGTGGATATATTCTCATTAGTTTATTAGATTTTTAATTATTTAATTAAAATTTAAAAATTAGGATTTATTTTGAGTTGGGCCTTTTGGGCTAACGTTTCTAATCTCTAACTTGTCTATACTTTTTCTAAATCTTACACCACCCAGCCTGCTATCGAACACCCTTTAAATTTTAGTTATTAAAACTTTGTAGTTAACTTAATTAATTTATTTTCTTTTGATTATTAAAAACATCAAAATACTAAAAAAAAATCAAATTCTATACACAATGAAACATTTTTTTTTATGATATAATTAATTCAAACATTCTATAAATAATAAGGTGTCCCTCTGCGAGTAATTAAATCGGTCGACACATCGTTTACCAGTTTATTGTTCAAAACATCAAACACTTTTTTAAGATAAATTAATTCAATATTTTACCACACAATTCAATGGGCAAAACATGGCCAATATCTGGCCACGTAGTGAGGAAGACTATATCAGACTTCCTCCGCATCCTTCATAACGAGCAGCACGGAGCCAATATCTGGCAACATGACGAGGAAAATTATATCAGACTTTCTTCGCATCCTTCATGATGAACAGCACGAAGCCAATATCTGGCTACGCGGTAAGGAAGACTATATCGGACTTCCTCCGCATCCTTCATAACGAGCAGCACGGAGTCAATATCTAACCACGTGATGAGTAGACTATATAACAATCCCCTTGCTCTACATTTTAAAACAGATAACCAACATCAAATCTTTTTTTACTAACATAATCAAATTCAAGAACATTTTCGAAAAAAGGATTAAGAAGCATTGTCTTTGAATCAAACTGCAAACTGCGTCTACAATCACTTAACTTACAACCCAGAAAATGTTCAAGGTTAATTCGAAAACAATTCTACGCGATATTATAAAAAACACCAGTGTGATACAGTGGGAGAACTGACTTGGGTGTTTTGCGTTTGATCGCAAATGTTGCGGTTAGCAAGAGTCGCCACCGACTTTTCTTTTATCCAAAAGGAAAGGTGAAAAAGTACAGGAAAGACCTTTAAGATTATTTCTTGAGTTCGGGGGATAGATTATGAAAAGGGAAGGTATTAGCACCCTTTTCATCCATGGTTTTCCATGGGATCTTAGTTACTTTCTAGATCACTTGCTTTTTGTTTGAAATTGTGCTTGAGGTGGTTTTTGAAAGTATTTTGTAAAGAAGCCATTGTTTAGGAAATCTTTGTAATGATTCTTGTTTGTAAGAATGTATACAAAGATGTTTGATCTTTTGAAAATGTTTTCGATTTTGTAAGATGTTTGAAAGTGTATGTGTTTGTTTTGAAAATAGCAAGGATGTTTGTTTTGAAATGAAGCAAGTAATTAGGAGCAATCTACCTACTCAAATGTATTTCTTGTTCATTTTCTTTTCCTTTGGCATTATTGTTTTACCATTGATTTGGTAAGCAACCCTATCTTTGGATGTAAACGGGACGGGCGTGGGTCATCGTATAGCCATGATTAGCAATGTTGCAAGGTATCTTAGCATTCTTTTTTAGGGACTAAGATCATTTGTAAGGTAACTTAGATAGCGTCATCGAGGGACTATGATCTTGTATTTGCTTGTTTTTGCTAAGATACCTTACATGCATAATATGGCCATTCTGTATAAGGTAACCAAGTGGAGTTTACCCTAGGGGTGCTTGGGTGCAAGTGTATTGTTTCATGCTTATTTTTGTCTTGAATTAGGGTTTTCTATTTGATTGATTTTATTCTTTCCATACAAACCCTAATTACTAGCATATGAATATAAAACATTTAAATTGCGGAAAATAAAAATACTAAGCTATTACATGAATTGTGGGAAGGGGGTATACAAAGTATAAATGGGGATTGCAAGAAATTAAAACCCTAATTAGTCTATTACAAACATATTGAATTGATATGAATATACAAGGAATTTACATAAATACAAGGTATAAAAAATGAATGAATGTACAAGGATGTAAAATGTAAAGAAAATGAATTTTTGTTTGATTTTCATAAAAAGATTTTGTCTTAACCTAATTTAAAGAGAATGGTTAATTTTAAATTTGGATTTATTTAGAAAAAAAAGATTTTAAAAGAAAGCCTAGTTCTATTAATCAATCAAAAGAAAATAATTTAAGGAAAGTATTTTTTTGGCATTTTTTATCTTGAAAATATTTATAGCGTTAAAAATATTTTTAGTCTTTTTTTGGTATTTAAATAATATATTTTTAAATGGTGTGAAGAAAAATAAATGAATAATACAATATTAATTAATTGTATAAGGTTTACTTAAATAAATAAATAAAGTATGAAGAATAAAAATTATTTTTATTTATGGAAAAATAAAATAAAATAAGTCAAAATATAAAATATCATTTTTTGTATTTTTATCATTTTTTTTTTGTATTTAGAAAATATATTTGAGAAAATAAATTTTTTAAAAAAATGAAGAAATAAAATTAAATTGGGCCAGGGTGCAAATAAGAAACAGGGGGAGGAATGTTAGGAAAAAAATCAGGCCCAGGAGGAGGAAGGCCCATGCGCTGGAAAGAACAAAAAAATGTAAAAAATGAGAAAAAAGCAAAAGGCAGTGCGCGCTGAGGCTCGAACCCATGACCTCCTGATTACCAGCACGCTGCCTTACGACTGGAGTGGCTATACATCCGTTAATACAAATAAAACAATAAATATGTAAGGCAAAATATGTTCTGAAGACTTCATCTTCAACCTCCAGCCAAAGGACCTGTATCTTCTCCATCTTCCAACAAAAATGAAAAGTTCAAACATGAAAGTTGTGGCATTTTTTTCCACGAATCCAAACATATAAACAACTTAAGCTAGCAATCAAAGATGAATGAGAATTTTTCTAGCCCTAATTCAAAACCTAAAAATTGCAGAAAACTTCAACCCTAAAATTCTCTAAGCTCATGCCATATAAATGTAAACTATGGATATGTACAGCTTCGAGGCAATGGTATTTACATTTTATCTTCACAAAGCAAACTCAAATGATGCCTATATGAAGAGATAGAAGTTTCAAAACTTACCTCTTGCAGTTGGAGTCATGTATGGAGTTTGAGCAATCTTTGTGATGGCCTGATGGTTTCTATAACTTGCCTGGACCTCCTTGAATGTGTTCCAACTCCTACTTTGCTTTGAGGATGGCTGGAACTCCCTGCTCAAGTCAAGTTGCAAGCTTCAGTTTTGAAAATGGTGGATGATGATGGAGGAGTTACAGTTAGGAAATGAGGGCCTGGATCACTTTGATATGATGTATGGAAGGTGTTTGGATGATTAGTTTTCAAAACGCACGAGTGGAAATGGAGATGGTGAGTTTTTGCTCAAAACTGTCAAGTTTGGGCAGTTATGTGCAGAAAGATGCTTGGGAGTGTTTTTGGACTTGCGAAAACGTGTGTTGTGTTACAATTGACTTGTTAATATGTATGGAAAAGATTAGAGCACAAAATAACTCAAGGCTTCTGAGTTATATGGTTATGGCTCTATAACTTGCTTTTCAAGAAAAGTGAAATGATAAATCTCAAGTATTGTACAAGCATGTCCTGAGCTTCTTTGGGCCTTAGACACCTTGCTTTTGGTTTATAGGGGTTGTGTGCAGAAAGAACAAGTTAAAAGCTCAAGACAAGTTGACTTTGTGATTAAAGCAACTTTTCAAGAATGGAATGGCAACTTTCTTCCTAAAATCACAAATTGGCTTGGATAATGCTAGGAACACTTAGATAATAGCTCAAAAGCAAGTGTAATATTATGATTATGGAGATATCTTGAGATTTAGAGGCCTTCAAAACAAGATTGTGCAACATAGATTTGAAATTGAATTCATGTTCATCACAAAATGCCTTGTAATTCAAGTTACAAAACACCAACTTCATCTCTTCGATTCTCCTTACTCAAGAATGATCTCAAGGAGTTCTTAGAAATTTTGGAAAGCTTACAATATTCTCTACAACCCATCTTTGAATTTCTTTTGAAGATTCCCCTTGGAACTATATGAAAAAGTGCCATGAAGTTAGGTCAAAATCCTGGCTAAATTAGGGCAAAATTTCACTAAGTGTTTAGTTTCATGACCCTATGTTCACAAAATTATAACTTGAGATCCATGCACTTTTGGAAGAAGTTGTGTGAAGAAAATTTGTAGATTTCATGGAGATCTACAACTTTCATGTTGGAAGTTTCCTTTGAATCATCTTTCATCATAATGAAAAATTGCTCAAAGTTATGAAAAAATAAGAAATTTTTTACACTTAGAATTTTTTTTAAGTTTAGTAATTTTGACTTTTCAAAATGAAATCTTGACTTTTTGATTTCTTGATGAATAAGTTTCATATTTTGACATGTTTTGATGAATTGTGATCTTTGGTACTTAAATTTGACCAAAAAGTCAAAGTTTGACTTTTCAGTATACAATTGACTTTTGATCAATTGACTGCAAAATTCATCTGTCAATCCAATGTATTTGCAATATTTTGAATCATGTCATTAGGTCAAAATGATGAAATTGGACTCTTGATATCATGCCTTAAACCAATTGACCATTTGCTAGGTCAAAAATCAGAAATTTCCCTTTCCTAGTCAAAACCCTAATTTTGACCATTTTACCCTTTTGGAGATTTGATCAAATTTCTTGAGGAATTATGGTCCAAACTTGATCAAATGATACATATGAGTTTAAAATTTTGACGTGGATAAAAAATTATGAAGTTTGACTGTAAATT